TTGTCTTCTCTAGGCTTTCCTGTCTCCTCATGATGTGGCCAAAGTACTTCAACCTTGTCTCTAGTATCTTTCCCTCCAGTGAGCAGTCGGGCTTTATTTCCTGGAGGATGGACTGGTTGGATCTTCTCGCAGTCCAAGGCACTCTCAGCACTTTCCTCCAACACCACAGTTCAAAAGCATCGATCTTCCTTCGCTCAGCCTTCCCTAAGGTCCAGCTCTCACATCCGTAGGTGACTACAGGGAATATCATGGCTTTGACTAGGCGGATCTTTGTTGTCAGTCTGATGTCTCTACTCTTCACTATTTTATCGAGACTGGACATTGCTCTCCTCCCAAGAAGTAAGCGTCTTCTGATTTCCTGGCTACAGCCTGCATCTGCAGTAATCTTTGCACCTAGAAATACAAAGTCTGTCACGGCCTCCATGGTTTCTCCTTCTATTTTCCAGTTGTCAATCATTCTTGTTGCCATAATCTTGGTTTTTTTGACGTTTAGCTGCAACCCGGCTTTTGCGCTTTCTTCTTTCACCTTGATTAGAAGGCTCCTCAGCTCCTCCTCGCTTTTGGCCATCAGGGTGGTGTCATCTGCATATCTGAGGTTGTTAATGTTTCTTCCAGCAATTTTCACCCCAGCCTTGCATTCATCAAGCCCCGCACATCGCATGATGTGTTCTGCATACAAGTTAAAAAGGTTGGGTGAGGATGCAGCCTTGCCGTATGCCTTTCCCAATCTTGAACCATCTGTTGTTCCGTGGTCAGTTCTTACTGTTGCTACTTGGTCCTTGTACAGATTCCTCAGGAGAGAGACAAGGTGGCTTGGGATGCCCATCCCACTAAGAACTTGCCACAATTTATTATGATCCACACAGTCAAAGGCTTTGGAATAGTCAATGAAGCAGAAGTAGATGTTTTTCTGAAACTCCCTGCCTTTCTCCATTATCCAGCGGATATTGGCAATCTGGTCTCTCGTTCCTCTGCCTTTTCTAAACCCAGCTTGAACATCTGGCAACTCTCGCTCCATGTATTGCTGGAGTCTTCCTTGCAGGATCTTGAGCATTACCTTACTGGCATGAGAAATAAGGGCCACTGTACGGAAGTTTGAGCAGTCTTTCGCATTTCCCTTTTTTGGTATGGGGATATAAGTTGATTTTTTCCAGTCTGATGGCCATTCTTGTGTTTTCCATATTTGCTGGCAAATGGCATGCATCACCTTGACAGCATCATCTTTTAAGATTTTAAACAGTTCAGCTGGGATCCCGTCGTCTCCTGCTGCCTTGTTGTTAGCAATGCTTCTTAAGGCCCATTCACCCTCACTCCTCAGGATGTCTGGTTCTAATTCATTCACCACACCGTCAAAACTATCCTCAATATTATTATCCTTCCTATACAGATCTTCTGTATAGTCTCGCCACCTTCTCTTGATCTCTTCAGCTTCTGTTACGTCCCTGCCATCTTTGTTTCTTATCATACCAATTTTTGCCTGAAATTTACCTCCAATGTTTCTAATTTTCTGGAAGAGGTCTCTTGTCCTTCCTATTCTGTTGTCTTCTTCCACTTCCATGCATTGCTTATTTCAAAATAGTTCCTTATCTCTTCTGGCTAACCTCTGGAATTGCGCATTTAACTGGGCATATCTCCCCTTATCCCTGTTTCCTTTTGCTTTCCTCCTTTCTTGGGCTACTTCCAGTGTCTCAGCAGACAACCATTTTGCCTTCTTGGTTTTCTTTTTCTTTGGGACGTACTTTTTTGCCGCCTCCTGAACAATGTCGCGGACTTCTGTCCATAGTTCTTCTGGGACTCTGTTTACTAAATCTAGTCCTTCAAATCTGTTCTTCACTTCCACTGTATATTCGCTAGGAATGTTAGTGGTAAGTACCATCACTTTAAAAGTGATCCGGTGCTCAATTGGTAACCAATGCAGCTGCAGTAAGATTGGTGTTATGTGGCATCTCATCGGAAATCCTGCAAGAAGCCGAGCAGCTGCATTTTGTACCAACTTGAGCTTCCAGATCACCGACAGAGGAAGGCCAATGTAGAGGGCGTTACAGTAGTCCAGTCTTGAGATGACCGTGGCCTGGATCACCGTAGCTAGGTCGTCCCTGGACAGGTAGGGAGCCAGCCGTCTAGCCTGCCGCAGATGAAAAAAGGCGGTTCTGCTAACGGCGGAGACCTGAGCCTCCATTGTCAGCAGAGGGTCCAAAAGGACTCCCAGACTCTTTACCAACGATGACGGGCGTAGCGCCTTCGCCATCCAGGGTAGGCAGCTGGATGTCCCCACTGCCCTGTCGACCCAGCCATAGGATCTCCGTCTTTTCTGGATTCACCCTCAACCTGCTGGCACGCAGCCATCCAGTAACGGCCTCAAGGCACTGATGAAAATTATCGGGTACAGAATCCGGACGGCCTTCCATCTTCAACACAAGCTGAGTGTCATCAGCGTACTGATAACACTCAAGCCCAAAACCTCGAACCAGCTGAGCAAGTGGTCGCATATAGATGTTAAACAACAGAGGGGAGAGAATGGCCCCCTGAGGAACCCCACAAGATAGAGGGGACCTCTCAGAGACCAGGCCTCCCCTCTCCACTCGCTGTCCACGGTTGTGAAGAAAGGAGGACAGCCAGTTTAAAGCTGTCCCCCTGACTCCAGCAACAGCAAGGCGGTGGGTCAAAAGATTGTGGTCGACTGTGTCAAATGCTGCTGTGAGATCCAATAACACAAGCAGCGCTGACCCGCCCTGGTCAAGCTGGCATCGAAGGTGATCCGTGATGGAGACCAGCACAGTCTCTGTCCCGTGCCCCACACGGAAGCCGGACTGGAAGGGATCTAGTCCGGCTGTGTCGTCTAGGAATTGCTGCAACTGCTCCGCTGCTGCCCTCTCAATCACCTTGCCCAGGAACGAGAGATTCGAAACTGGGCGGTAACTGGAGGGAACCGAACAATCTAAGTCTGGTTTCTTCAGCAGGGGAGAGACCACTGCCTCTTTTAAACCCTCTGGAAAAACTCCTTGCTCAAGGGAGCTGTTTATAATCTTCAACAGAGGGTCACGTAATCCCTCCAAGCAGGATTTCACCAACTAAGAGGGACACGGATCGAGGGAGCAAGTGGTCGGTCTAGCTGCAGCTATGAGCCTATCGACAGCCTCTGCATCCAGCGGGATGAACCGGTCAAGGACGGGCCCAGCAAGTGGCCACTGAGTCTCAAATTCTCTCACTGTATCAATTGTGGCGGGGAGGTCCCGGCGAAGTAGCGAGATCTTGTCTGCGAAATAGCTCTGAAAAGCCTCGGCTGAAGGGGCCTGATCATCACTTTTTGGGATGTTAGGGACCGTTGTTAAAGATCGGATTATTTTAAACAATTTTGCATCTGTGTCTGGTTGCTCTTAGACGCAAGGTCTTAAAACTGGGAACTTCCAATAAATCTTGGTCCTCAGAACGAAGGGATCTCTGGGGTTGGTAGGGGGTGAGGCAGTCCCTCACCCCCTACCAACTTTGCTTCGATGATAGCATGCTCATAGGACTCCTTAAATGCCTCATAAGCAGATCTCGATGCTCTGTCATGGAGTTCTCGCCACATGCCCTCTAGCCGTCTCTTTTCCCGCTTCATCAATCGAAGTTCCTCGGTGAACCAAGGACACCGATTTCGGTGGGGTTGGAGAGGGTGTCTAGGGGCGATCTCGTCGAGTGCATATAAGATGACTCCCGGAGTATAAGATGACTCCGGACTTTTGAGAAGATTTTCTTGGGTTAAAAAGTAGTCTTATATGCCAGAAAATACGGTAGGTTTCATTGCGTGCCTTTATGTTTGTTTCTGACTTGTGGCGACCCTGTGGTGGGGTTTCATTGGGAAAATCTGTCCAGAGGAGGTTTACCTTTGCCTTCCTCTGATATGAAGACAGTGTAACTTGCCCAAGTGGGTTTCCACAGCTCAATGGGGATTTGAACCCTGATCTCCAGACTTGTAGTCCAGTGCTAAAGCCACTCCACCACATGGGCTTCCCCAGTTTAAATAGTGCTTAAAAATCTTCATGGTTTAAACCTACTCTATCAAAAAGAAAATCAAAACCAGCACAAATAACAGGGGTCATGGTGGGGAACTATTGCAAATCACAGTCTACTTCACGGCATTCGGAGTCCAATCCTCTTAAACTCTACTAAAGCATAACTGAATGGTAAACAAAATGAAAGAAAAAGTGGCATATGGGATGAACAAGAGATACAGACTTTCAAGGAGTGCAAAACAAGTACAAGGAGGAAGGGAAATAGAGTGAAGGAAGGCAAAAATGCCTTGTCACAGTTCATTTAAAAGCTCTAAAATTCACAGTATAAAAGGTAAAGCAACTTTCGTTATTCCTAACTCTAGAGAACTACAGAAATACCTGTGCAAATACCATACCCCTTGCTGAGTTAAAAAATCTACTGGCTCACAAGCCCACAAAAGCTAGGGAAATCCAGAAGTACAAAGATAGGGAGATCTGTGCCTGGTACATATGAAATAACTGCACCCGGGGAACTCTGGGGTTCGGATTCATTACAGGAGGCAAGTAAAATCTGGAACAAACAGATTTCCTGACTTGTCTAGAAAGAGGGTCTACTTCTAAGGAATCGATACTGCCATACTAGAACGTGCTGAAGATGTATGAGAGACTGCAAGCTGCTCCAGGAATAGAGGGAGCAGGAGGGAGGGAGGGAGCAGGAGGGAGGGAGGGAGGGAGGGAGGGAGGGAGGGAGGGAGGGAGGGAGGGAGGGAGGGAGGGAGGAGGAAAAAAGGGCAATATAGAAAAAAAGGCAACCACTTTGGGGAAGCCCTACAGGTTCCTTTTGCACGGGACTTTGACGTCATAATATACATCCAGAAAAAGTGGTGGGAAAGGAAATTCCAAATGAGGATGAGGATGATAAAAAAGAAAAAAGGGGAAGGGAAGCAAAGAAAAGATCATGGAAACCTGTAAAAAACATTTCAGTACTGTGAAAAGTATGACATATTGTCAGTCACAATATAAAAATGATAATCAAAAAGGATTTACTGTAGTAAGAAGAATCCAAAGTAAACATCTACAAGCACAAGTTCCTAGTAATCAATGATCAAATGTTTGACTGGGAAGAAGTCTGGCAAGTTTGAGGTGACGGTGCTCCAAGGTAGTTTCCCTTGCAGTTTTGCTGGTATATCATCTTTGTGGCCTTTGCAGCCGGAAAATGGCTGTCATCTAGAAAAACAGAAAAGCACATTAGGGCTACGAAGAAGGGATAAAGAATGCTGCAAGACCTGGCCAGTGAATTGGTGGCATTGTTTTGCAATCAGAGAAGGATGGGCCAGCAAATGAATAAATACAAATATGCAGGAATGCTCCTTTCACATATGACATAAAGTATGTGTAGTTTTACCATATTCTATTATCATCACTTTACTTTTAAAAACTGTTTTTAAAATTTTATTGTGAAGGCTCTTAATTACATTCTTTGTGAGTCACTTTGGGTCCCCCTCTCTGAGAGAAGCGTGAGAGACAAAGGAAGCGTACAAAGAAATAAAATGAATGAATAAATAGTAACACATTGACTGCTTAAGCAGCTGAGGAAGGAAAGGAAGGGACCTGAGACTGTTAAGAATTGAGGAAATTTAAGTCCAAAACAGCTGGAAGGCTGAAGTTTGCTCATGCCTGTTGTAGAGCTTTCTCAAAATCACATAATTCATTTTCACTGGTTTTAAAATAGGCTTTTACATTTTGTGTTACGTGTCTAAAACAAAATTTAAAAGTCTATTTTAAAATCATTGGAAATGAATGAATCATTTTAACTATAAAGTTATTGATTGCACTGCATATTGTTTTGGGAGTGATCAAATAAGCACTTGTGATACATAACAAATAAAATTTTCGTTTATGCAAACTGCCACATATTCAGCACCCTTCATTCCAAGGCAAGAAACCCAAGTTTCAAAATGTTGGAAATAGCAACCTTTCAAGCTTTCACTATTTGTTTATTAATGTATATTAATGTTTGCTGGCCTGTATTGTATGTATATATTGATTTGCCATTTTGACTGCCATTTTGCTGTGGGAGGGGCTACAGACATGTGACTGTGCTGAGAATGTTTAGACTACATTTTGTTGTCTGTATTTTGAACTTCAATGTTAGCAGTTTGCTTTAGACTTCAGTGGAGGTGGCGGAAGTATGATTTTGGACTTCAGTCAAAGCAGATGTCTTTTAGACTTATGCAGGAACAGTTAACTATATGTCTGCTTTGAGAAGCAGTGAGTACAATCATACAATCTTCAAAGAAACATTTTTTAAAACTCTGCTAGCTAAGTATACATTTTTATTGTGTAGTGGCATGTCTTTGTCCCTGGCAGTTCAAAGATATAATTTATCAGTTTAACAGCTGAGTTACCTGTGCTTGTGAACATCACCTTTTCAAAGGGTTGATTTCTAACAAGGGCATGCCTTTCCTTGACTAGTGTATTTCAAAAGGTGGTCTCCAGATGTTCATGGAAATTCACATTTGCCAAAAGGATATGACATTATTTTTCTTTTCAAAATGGTTATGAATGCCATTTTTCCAAAACAAAATCAAATAAAATGTGCTGAAAGTTTTCTAGCTATTTGAAAAAAAAATGCAAATAAAATGTGATATGAGAATCTCCCAAAATGTTCTAGTTATACTTTTGCTCAGCATAATGTATTTTTTTTTTTTGTTTTAACACTAGAGGTAACTGTTATGAAGAATACAGTGGACGACAGAGAATACTGAAGGCACAGCTTTAAGCTCACATTAGAATTTAGGGTAATGCCATTGGAGATTGTAGGACAGAAACTTGGTTTGCATTCTACCTCCAGCATAAAGTTCACTTAGATGTTCAAAACACAGCTTCATTTAGTTAGCTTGCAACAGTGCATAATGGTGATGGAAAGAACTTTAGCAGGCCACAACAAGTCATGGTGCCTTCAGGCTGTATGTTCTCCAGGCCCAGGCTTTGAGATGCTATTTCATGTCGAGTTTATTTAGATCATTCATTTAATGAAAATATCAGTGGACAGCTAAAGTTAAAACAAGTCTGAAAAGGTAGGACGTGATTTGTTATCAGTGGAAGAACTGAACTGCCCTCTTGATCATTCCGAACATATCTTTGTAAACTCCTTTGTTGCTGCCCTATAAAAACATTCATTAAAAAAAATCAATTCACGTTCCAACGCCTCTACCCACTCTTACATGTAAAGTCTCGTTAGAACAGATTGAAAATACCAGTTGAGTATCCCTTATCTGAAGAGCTTGGGACTAGAAGTGTTTTGGATTTTTTTTTCCAGATTTTGGAATACATGCAGTCCCCAAGTTAAAAACAAGAAATGTTCTGTAAACTTTGTTTTTACATTGACTTTGTATGTAAGTCACAACAGGCACGTTTTCAAGTGCAACTCCACCCAGAGGGTGCTCACCAATGCTTCCTCTTCATCCTGGAAAGAAGTGACGAGCTCAGTGCCACAAGCAGGGTTCTGTCCTGGGCCCGGTCCTGTTCAACATCTTTATTAATGACTTAGATGAAGGGCTAGAAGGCATGATCATCAAGTTTGCAGACGACACCAAATTGGAAGGGATAGCCAATGCTCCAGAGGACAGGAGCAGGATTCAAAACGATCTTGACAGATTAGAGAGATGGGCCAAAACTAACAAAATGAAGTTCAACAGTGACAAATGCAAGATACTCCACTTTGGCAAGAAAAACGAAATGCAAAGATACAGAATGGGGGACAATGCCTGGCTCGAGAGCAGTACGTGTGAAAAAGATCTTGGAGTCCTCGTGGACAACTAGTTAAACATGAGCGAACAATGTGATGTGGTGGCAAAAAAAGCCAATGGGATTTTGGCCTGCATCAGTAGGAGTCTAGTGTCTAGATCTAGGGAAGTAATGCTACCCCTCTATTCCGCTTTGGTTAGACCAAACCTGGAATATTGTGTCCAATTCTGGGCACCACAATTCAAGAGAGATATTGACAAGCTGGAATGTGTCCAGAGGAGGGCGACTAAAATGATCAAGGGTCTGGAGAACAAGCCCTATGAGGAGCGGCTTAAGGAGCTGGGCATGTTTAGCCTGAAGAAGAGAAGGATGAGAGGAGACATGATAGCCATGTATAAATATGTGGTCTCACCCCCATTCTTAACTAGGAGTCATTTGTAAGTTGGATGCTTGTAACTCAGGGGCTGCCTGTACCTGTATTTGCATAAATGTGTAATAAGAAATTCAATGTGCAAATTTGATAAATGTGAATTTAATATGATGTGTGGGAATGAATGGAAGAATGGAGGTTGTATGGATGGAGTTAATAATTTTGGAAGCACCAGTATAATATTAAGGCCTGCAATGACTAACTACCTGCTTGCTGGACTTGCTAATGAGAAGCTGTGATAAGAACTGGGACAGTGATAACGGAAATGTTTGCAACATTCCTTATGTTAAGAAGGAAGTCAACACAAGCCTTGTGTTTGTCAACACCAATCAAGAAGATCAACATCTGGCCAGGTAACTGGGATGGATCCAGGATGGAAGACGTCTATCATTAATTTACAACTTTGGGACTACATCAACAGAATATTCCTATAAAAGACTCAGTCTAATAATGCTCAAATTGTGGCAGACCGAGGAGTCTGTTCCACCCGCCATGCTCTGCTCCATGGGAAGGAGAGAGATGGTGTATTCGGAGAGTGGCAGATTTGCACGGGAGCAGTCTGGTCACTTTGGGGTTTCTTTCTCAAGGGAAGAGGAAGAAGTGCGCTTTTGGAGTCTTAGATTTTGTGCAGGGAGTCAAGTTCTGCTGTATGGAAAACAGAGATCTGGTCCTTGGCACTGTTCTTAGGGAAAGAAGTTTTGGCATTTCAGCGGTTTGAAGGTATGGTGTTATGGAAGTTTTGGAACTATGCATTGGCTGGCTATAGGAAAACAGGGTCTGGCCTAACAGATGCTTCTCCAAGGAGGGAGAAAATGATATGGTAATATTTGGATGCATGTGGATGAATGCGTGCACATGTGTGTTTTGAGGCCTTGGCCTTTGTAAGCTGCATCGAGTCCTTCGGGAGATGCTAGCGGGGTACAAATAAAGATAATAATAATAATAATAATAATAATAATAATAATAATAATAATAATGTGTGTGAATGTTGAGTGAAAATGTAATTCCCCTTTGTTTGTTTGTTAACCAATGCAATTGTAAATCCAATATAGTTGCTGTATGTCTGTATATGTATGTCCAATGTCATTCTTTGTCTAAATGTTTTCTGTAATCTAATATACCTTCTCACACTGGAAATTGCAATAAAAAGAATCTATGCTTCAAAGTCATTGAAAAGTTATTCATGACATATACACATAATGAGATGCATGGAGATGAGACCCAAGTCTAAATACAAAATTCATGTATGGTTAGCTTGAAAGCAATATTAAACAATATATATTTAAAGTAAATGTATGCATGAATATACATCCCGTATAGACTACTGCAACGCTCTCTATGTGGGGCTGCCTTTGAAGACTGTTTGGAAGCTTCAAATGGTCCAACAGACAGCAGCCAGGTTGTTAACAGGAGCGGCGCTCAGGGAGCACACAACTTCTCTGTCGTGCTAGCTCCACTGGCTGCCAGTTTGCTACCGGGCACAATTCAAAGTGCTGGCTTTAGCCTTTAAAGCCCTAAATGGTTCTGGCCCAGTTTACCTGTCCGAACGCATCTCTCCCTATGAACGATCTATATGCTTAAGACCCGTCGCAAACTAGCCTCCTGCAGGAGCAAACCTTGCCAGCACGTCCCTGACGTCATGAGACTGCGCCTCTCTCCCCGCCCCTTTCTCCACCCCTTTCTCAGTGCCAGAGTGGTTTTTTTTCTTTGCTAGGGCAGCATTGCCAGCGTACTCTCGTTGTTGAATTCTGCCAACAACGAGAGTACGCTGGCAATGCTGCCCTAGCAAAGGAAAAACCACTCTGGCACGGAGAGAGGCGGAGAAAGGGGTGGGGCGAGAGGCGGAGTCTCATGACGTCAGGGACGTGCTGGCAAGGTTTGCTCCCGCAGGAGGCTAGTTTGCGACGGGTCTAAGATTGTCTGGAGGGGCCCTGCTCTTGGTCCCACCTCCTTCGCAGATTCGATTGGCGGGAATGAGAGACAGGGCCTTCTCAGTGGTGGCCCCCTGGCTATGGAACGCCCTCCCTAGGGTTATTAGATCAGCGTCTTCCCTCCTGACATTTCAAAAGAGAGTTAAAACCTGGCTTTTTGAGCAGGCATTTGCAGACGCAGTATAACTAATTAATTGAGACTTATGGAACGATTGGACGATGCAACGATGATTTTAACGATGAGAAGCTGAGGACTTGTACTTTATGGTTTTAATTGTTTTATTGCTTTTATATGGTTTATATTATATGTAATGTTTTGACTGTATTTTATTTTGTGGGGCATTGATTGCTAACCGCCTCAAGTCGCCTCCGGGCTGAGAGGGGCGGTATACAAATGTAGTAAATAAATAAATAAATCTTTGCGGACAATTTCAGAATTCCGGGTAAGGGATGCTCAACGTGTACTTTTAGTATTAAGGACAGATTCTGAAAAGATTTTCCTTGCAAATGTTTGTCAATAAAATATCCACATTCATAAATAATGTTAAAATCTGTTGCTAAAGAGAATGTTACCTGATAAATACAGCTGGCCTTGCTATTTACTCTGCGATCTCAGTCTCCTGGTGGACAACCACTTTGGTCACAGACATGTCTGGGTGTTGTTCCTTTGCTTCTTTGATCGCCTGTACAAGAACCTAGACAGGAGGCATGAAGATCAAACTATTTGAGTTGTGTTTCTTGTAAGGATCTAACCACCATCCTCCACCATATATACTCAAGTATAAGTCAACATCATTATAGTTTTTTATTTGACCCATGGAGACCTTCATTCCACAGAGAAGAGGAAGTGCCAGTGCTGCCTTAGGGGAACAATGACCAAGCATTCAAAAGGCCAGAAGTGGAGCTGTGGCGGGGAGAGTAAAGAGGCTTGGTGAGTTTTTTTTAGGGTGGGTAAGCTCTTTACTTTTGCCACTCCACTTAATCTAAGTTAAGAAGGTATAGTATTCAACTCTGACCTGTGGATAAATCAACCCAGTTTTTTTGGGTTGGCTTTTTGATTAAATGTTTATAATTATACATGAATATATACAGAATGGGGCAGAAAGAGCTCCCATATTTCAAGAAGGAGGAGGAGGAGGAGGAGGAGGAGGAGGACAGCCACAACCAAAACCAAAACCACAACCACAACAACTTTATTTTTCTACCCCGCCTCCATCTCCCCGAAGGGACTCGGGGTGGCTTACATGGGGTCCAAGCCCAGGCAGAATACAATTAAAATAAAGCAATAACAATTAAAACAGCATAAAACAGCGTAAAACAACATAACAAAACAAGCTAGCAACAATAATAACAGTAGACTAATTTTGGAGAGGGGGAGGAAAACCACTACATGATCTAGTTGTGGTGGAGGCTCCTTCTTTGGAAGCTTTTAAACAGAGGCTGGATGGCCATCTGTCAGGGGTGATTTGAATGCAATATTCCTGCTTCTTGGCAGGGAGTTGGACTGGATGGCCCATGAGGTCTCTTCCAACTTTTTGATTCTATGAGTCTATGATTCTAGTTAAAGGATAAAGTGGTTTAGTAAAGTAGATGATAATATATAACGGCATAGAAAATATGGAAACAGAGCAAATTAATTCAAGGGGGCACTGTGTGGGCTGTAGTGGGTAGGTCTAATTTGGCAGGTTAGGCTCTGCTGTTTTCAGGACCCATCATGAGTAGGACTGGTGAACATTAGGGCTTTGTTGTTCAAGCGATACGCTTGAACAACAATACGTTCCATACGTGCTTCATGCTTGTGTATGCATCTGTTTCAAATCAGAAAACTTTTTTTGCTATGGATTTCTCTGGGCACCAGGATCCACACTGAAAAGAAAATCCCTGGCAGATCTAGGGCCATTAGAGTGCAAGAAAATGTGGAAGCAATAAGAGCCTCCACTCATAAGCAGGCCATTGTCCTGGGGTTATTAAGTCGGAGTTTGAGGAGGATTCTACATGCTGATTTAAAACTATGTCCTTTCAAAGTGATTTGTCTGATAGGATTTTTAAAATTCATTAAAACAAAACTGTTTTTATGAAGGTTTCAGAAATATATCCTTTTTTCAAATGTGGGAGATCTCTATATCCCCACTCTGGACTTATGCATACATAAATATATAATATATTGGCCATATAGCATCACCAATGCTATGAAGCATCTGCTTGGTTCTTTGCTAACAAAGTTGCTCTGATCCATTCTGACCTGGATGCCATGTTAACGGCAGATTCTGAAGATGTAAAACGAACACCTGCTTGTCCAGTTTTGATGGATTCATTTCAATTCACCTTGAGGATGTGGACAAGATTCTTGGAGAAGTGAGGGTGACCACATGTATCCTAGACCCCTGCTGGTAAAGGAAGCCAGAGGGGCTTTGGCAGAGTGGGTGAAGGTGGTGGTTAATGCCTCCCTACAGGAAGGCAAGATTCCAGCCAGCCTAAAAGAGGCTGTAATAAAACTGGTGTTGAACAAACCATCACTGGACCCCACTCAATTGTATAACTTTTGGCCAGTTTCCAATCTCCCCTTTCTAGGTAAAGTCATGGAATGTGTGGTGGCCTCAAACCTCCAGGTGTCCTTGGAGGAAACTGATTATCTGGATCCGGCACAGTCTGGCTTTAGACTGGGACATGGAAGCGAAATAGCCTTGGTCGCCTTGGTGGATGATCTACGCAGGTAACTGGATGGGGTGTGTCCCTGTTGGTTCTCCTGGACCTTTCAGGGGCCTTTAATACCACAGACCACAGTATCCTTCTGGAATGGCTCGTTGGAATGGGGCTCAGAGGTACTGTTTTGCAGTGGCTCTGGCCCTTCCTGGAGGGTCGGACCCAGATGGTGGAGCTGGGGGACACCTGCTTGGCCCCTCGACCTTTGTTCTGTGGGGTCCTGCAGGGCTCAGTATTTATTTGTTTATTTCAGACATTTATATCCCGTCTTTCTCACCCCCGGAGTGGGGACTCAGGGCAGCTCACAACCAACAAACATTAGATGCCAACAATAATAAAAACACAGTTAAACATTAATTAAAACATCATTATAAGATAAAAAGATAAAAAGGAGACAAATCTATGTTGCTTAACAGCTACATGAAGCCACTGGGAGAGATTATGCAGAATTTTGGAGCTTGATGCCATCTGTACACAGATGATGTTCAACTCGATCGCTCCTTTTCACCTGCTGCTAAGGAGGCAGGTCTTGAACTGGTGCTTGGTAGCTGTGATGGTCTGGATGAGGGCGAACAAATTGAAATTGAATCCAGACAAGACAGAGGTCCTCTGTTCAGTCACAAGGCCAAACAGGGCATAGGGTTACAGCCTGTGCTGAGCGGGTTTACACCCCCACCCCCGAAGACACAGGTTCACAGCTTGGGAGTCCTCCTGGATTCATCATTGGGACTGGAGCCCCAGGTGTTTGCGGTGGCCAGGGGAGCATTCGCACAGTTAAAGTTTGTGTGCCAGCTGCACCCGTACCTTGGGAAGTCAGACTTGGCCATAGTGGCCCACGCTCTGGTTACATCCCAAACAGACTACTGCAACGTGCTCTATGTGGGGTTGCCTTTGAAGACCATTCAAAGCTTCAAATGGTCCAATGGGTGGCAGCCAGGTTGCTCACCAGAGTAGCAAACAGGGAGCATACAACCTCCCTGTTGCGTTAACTCCACTGGTTGCCAGTCTGCTACCAGGCATAATTCAAAGTGCTGGCTTTAGTTAAGATAATCTGGGAAGGCCCTGCTTTTGATCCCACCACCTTTGCAAGTGCGATTGGTGGGGACGAGAGACAGGGCCTTCTCAGTGGTGGCCCCTCGGCTATGGAACTCCTTCCCCAATGAAATCAGATCAGCTTCCTCCCTCCTGTCTTCCAAGAAGAAACTTAAGACATAGCTGTGGGACCAAGCATTCAACCAGTAAATAAGGAAAACAGACTAATGGAATTGACAATCGGACAGGCCTTGGACTACAATCTGGATTACATGATTTTAATTGATGTTTTAATCATTAATGTTTAATTCTATGGTGTTTTGTATTTGCTTGTTTTTAATATTTATATGTATTGGCATCAAATCGCTGCCTGTTGTAAGGCCTTTTTTAGGGTGAGAAGGGCGGGATACAAATATGTGAAATAAATCAATATTGCTGGTCCAAATTTGATATTTTAATTTTCTGCCACTTTGCATAATAGTCACGTTGTAGATTATGATAGAAATAAAATCCAACTGCATCTGCAAACAATTGTTACATTTTCTTTGGCACCTTATAAATCAAAGATGTACAATCTTTCGACAAAGAAAAGATTTGTGGATCAGTTACGGCTATAATAATTTTATGGCTTCAGAAAAATGAAGAACCTTGTGTTAGAGTTGTGCTTTTACTGTACATGAATTTTCAAGTACTTTGAAAAACAGTTTGCAATCTGTCTCGTACAAACATACATTTGATTCTCCAATTGGTTCAGTGATACAAAAAAGTTCCAGAAAAAATGTGCCAACACCGAGAACAGTAAAATAAAACAAACTTCTTACTTGATCATGATCAATGTCAGCATCTCCTGTAATGACAATTCTTTTTTCAATTCGTGTTTCTGAAATTCCACCCTTCACAGTCTATTGTAAGAGAACAAACAGAAACCTCATAAAAATAAAATCAACCATATACTGCTATTCATATGGAAAGTCAACAAATGCATATCATGGTCGGTATTAGGATAGATTGCTTGTTTATAAAGCTATTGTCCTCCCAACCCTGCAATATGCCTGCGAGATGTGGACAGTCTACAGACTTCACATGGAACTCCTGGAACGATTCCATTAGCGCTGCCTCCAAAAAATCCTGCAAATCTCATGGAAAGACAAGCGGACAAATGTCAGCGTGCTGGAAGAAGCAAAGACCACCAGCATTGAAGCGATGGTCCTCCGCCATTAACTCCGCTGAACCGGCCACGTTATCTGGATGCCCGACCACCGTATCCCAAAGCAGTTGCTCTACTCAGAAAGCGGAATGTTGGTGGGCAGGAAAAGAGAGTTAAAGATGGGCTCAAAGCCAACCTTAAAAACTCTGGCATAGACACTGAGAACTGGGAAGCCCTGGCCCTTGAGCGCTCTAGCTGGAGGTCAGCTGTGACCAGCAGTGCTGTAGAATTTGAAGAGGCACAAATGGAGGGCAAAAGAGAGAAACATGCCAAGAGGAAGGCGCATCAAGCCAACCCCAACCGGGACCGCCTTCACCTGGAAACCGATGCCCTCACTGTGGGAAAAGATGCAGATCAAGAATAGGTTTCCACAGTCATCTATGGACCCACCGCTATGACACTACACTTGGGAGGACCATCATCCTCGGACTACGAGGGATCGCCTAAGTAAGTACTATACCCCTTTGACATCATACTCCCCACAATTAAACGTAGTTCTTTCTTGCTATCCTAGTGAATTCTACAACCAGTTAGTGTTAATGCAGTTTTGCACATTCTATCTATCTATAAAAGGGTTACCCAAAGACAGACAGAGGAAACAGTGGTTTCCTAATTAAGTCTTTCACACACAAAAATATTTTTTATTATTTTATCATGGTTTAATACATTTGTTATACATAGTTTGTTTTACAGCAGATACCAAAACCTGATAAAGATTTAACAGATCCAGGATCATATAGGCCCATATCATTAGTTAATCAGGATGCAAAGATTTTATCTGCTATAATAGCCAATAGAATGAATAAATGCATGTACAAGTATATTAAAAAAAGATCAGTGTGGGTTTGTAAAAAGGACGACAAATGTCAAATTTGATAGGGAGAGTATTAAATAAAATTTGTGTGGTTCAAGAGAGGAAGATAAAAGTAGGGATATTATCATTAGACATTTTTAAAGCTTTTGATTGTGTGGATATTAAGGGAGATTATGAATACATTTGGAATGGGAAGTAGAATAAAAGGATTATTAAAACAATATTATTCAAGAAATTCAGCAGTAGTAACTATAAACGATGGAGTGACAAAAGACATAAAAGTGACAAGGGGAACAAGACAATGTTGCCCTCTATCACCAATTTTGTTTGCCATGGTGATAGTATTATTTGCAAATGCCATTAGGAAAGATAAGAACTTAGAAGGGCTAGGAATAAAGGAAAAACAGAAGGTGAGCTTATTTGCCGATGATACATTGTTATTTATTGAAAATATGGTAAGTAAAATGGATAAAATAAAGGATCATTTAGAGATATTTGGGAAAACAAAAGGTCTACAAGTTAACTGGAACAAGTCAGAAATGATGCTATTTAATTATACAAAGAAAGAAGAAAAAGACTTTATAGAACAGAGCAAAATGGGAATTTGAATTAAGAATAAATTAAAATACCTGGGAGTAATAATAACAAAGGATTGAAAAGAAATGGAAGAGGTAAATGTCGTAGCATTGAGAAAAATTGTTCAAAAAACATTAATAGAATATGAAAATATACATCTATCTTGGTTTGGAAAGATAGCATTAGTAAAAATGAAAATACTTCAAAAGATAAATTTTATATTTAGGATGCTGCCACTTCAAATTACGTAGTTTCAAAATCTTATTTGTGCTCATTTTTACCTTTGTAATCTGTGTCGTGGTGGTACTGCTTGCAGTCTCTGAAGTTATAGTATGAGCTGTTAGCAGAACACCAGGGTCTATATCCTTGTTGCCATCATCAGTCTAAGGCAAAGGTACATAAGTGTTTTTAATTGCTTATGAGTAATGCATATATCCCTTGCGCCCCCCCCCCCCCCACAGAGTTATGATATTATCTCCTAATACAAGGAACTGTTGTTTAATAAAAAAAAATGACCAAAAATTGAAAATGATTTTGTCTGTGTGTGGTACACAGATAATAGAAGAATCAGAGCTGGAAGAGATCACAAGATGATATTACATTGACACTACATCTAAATCACTAAACTCCCATTCTTTTCAATGATCTAGGTATAAAGTTAAAAAACAGAGAGATTCACTTAACCTCACCATCTGTGAAGTGTAAAAAATCTAAAAGGAAGAGATCAGCAGTCTGTCACTGCTCTCTTGCACTGTGCAGGAGGGGGCGAACTTAGAGGACTAGACTTCAAATTTCCAGTTAACAGACTCCAAATAGATTTAACATGTATGAAATAGAATTGAATGATCAAGAGAAATGAGCACAGTCATGCCCTTGCCTGTTCAGCTCTAGGTATTGCTCAATTATGGGAACAACGGAGAAGAGGTTACAGTCCAGACATCTGCACAGACACACACTAAAGATTACTGACAAAAGCACTTAATCATCCCAACGTATATTTTAAATTAAGAGCAAATCACCGCCTCTTTAAATTAGACATCCCTTTTTGCAATGTGATATTCATAACAGCACCTGGTAGCTTATTTCACCAGTGAGCAGGTGGTTGGCTCCAGATGCCCACTGATCTTTTCGTTTCCACAAGAAACAGGAAATCAAAAATTCTATTTGATACATGTGAATGCACGCACAAGAACTATGATTCATCCAAATGAGTGATACTGAAACTAGCTATTTGAACCATTCATTTCACTGGAAAGATTTCCCCCATGAAGGATCAGGAACCAAGGCATGATGTTACCAATGCGATTTCTTTTCTAGAAGCAATGCTCTTATTTTGTAGTTCACAATCCACATATACCAGGCATGAGCAAACTTTGGCCCTCCCTCCAATTCCACTGTTAGGAATTGCAGGAGTTGAAAAAATCCAAAACACCTGGAGGGAAGGCCAAAGTTTGCCTATGCCTGAGAGATACTCATGTGTACCGTATATTCTGGTGTATAAGACTATTTTTTAACCCAAGAAAATCTTCTCAAAAGTCAGGGGTCGTCTTATATGCGGGGGTCGTCTTATACGCCTTATGCATGTGAGTCGTCTTATATGTGGGAGTAGTCTTATACTCCGGCAGCCGTCTTCTGGAGCGGGTGCTGAAACTTCCAATCCTGATTGGAGTATCTGTGGTTGCTGCATATTGTGAGGGGAGCTCAAAAATGGCAGTGGCTATGTCCCTGCCGTATGCAGCGACTGTATGAAAGCATTAAGGGCTTTCATACAGTACAAGTATGGTAGAAGAAAATCCATTCATCAGGATTCGTGGACTTAATGCGGTCCCAATGGTGAGGTGAAGCGGCGCCTCACCATGAAGGTGTAAGTGATGGTGCAGGCATCCGGGGCGCCTGGGGTATGGAAAAAAGAGATAGAGTGGCTCTGGGCCCAGAAAAACACACCTCTTTTACCTGTCTGGCCCGCCCTTGTTTCCTATTACTGTACCTCCTCCTCTGCCTCTGAGATCTCGCTCCTGAAGACTGCAGTGAAGCGGTGCAGGTATGCATGTGCGAGATCTGAGAGGCAGAGAAGGAGGTACAGTAATAGGAAAATTACCATATTGAAATTAAATCTGATGCTTTTGCATTTTTTATTTGGTGTGCATTGGAAGAGGGGTAGTCTTATACGGCGAGTATATCCCAAACTCTATATTTTAACTGGAAATGTTGGGGGTCGTCTTATACGCCCAGTCGTCTTATATGCCAGAATATACCGTAAGTTGAGGGAAAGTTATACACTGATATGCACATGTATGTCTCGCTATATATACTGCAGGCAAAAGAGTAGGAGTTGCTTCCAACTTGCCATTGCCATGTGTGCAGCATCCAGCACATAAAGGGAAGAGTTGAGGGAGCCAGTAGGACAAGAGAAAAGGGGGAATGAGGTGCAAATATGGGACATAAAGAAAAGAAGAGAAGCATCAAAGGTGATGAAGAGTTGCACCTTCCCTTGGCACCTGAGGTGTTTTCTGCAAATTACTAAAGAACTGGGCAGGAAGTGTTGGAACTCAAGCACATCCTGCACAAGTTGATAATTCTCATTAAGGAAACAGATAGGCAGATGAGTTAGCTGGTAGGAAAAGCCCTTCCCCTCATTGCTTTCTTGGTCTGCCTCTCCCTTGTCTCCTCTTTATTACACAGATACTTCTTCATCTCTTTCTATTCAAAGTGTCCTGGCCACATGGCAAGCCTCTGAGTCCTCCATTTGGTTCTTCTCCTGCGAGCATGGAGAGAAACAAGAGGTCTGCAGAGAGCTAGGAAGTTAGATAGCTAGGCCCTAACTTTCCTATATAGGAATGTAGTTATTTCAGTAAAGTCTTTTATTTAATGCTTGACTCTGCTCCTGTATTACTGAAGCTCATTCACTCCATAACCACAACAACAACAACAACAACTACAACTTTATTTTTATATCCTGCCACCATCTCCCTGAAGGGACTCGGGGTGACTTACATGGGGACTAGCCCGGTCAAACATAGATTAAAACGTAACACAATAAAATTTATAAATACAGCATCATAAGCAATATAAGATAACATCAACAGCAGCCGAAAGCCTGACAAAGTAATCAAATACTAGACTCGGGCGGGCAAGGGCTTGTGCAATAAAGTAAGAACAGAGCAGTTGCAAAAGGTGCAGGAGCCAGATGATAAATTAGGTATAGAAGGGCAATCTCAGTTATAATATCTAGTGAACTCTTTAGTCAAATGCACAGTGGAGCATCTTGGATTTTCTAATTTTAACATATATATGATTATAGTATAAAACCACCATCCTACTCCATCAAATATGAAACATCTCACCTGTGCTGCTTCATAAGTGATGGTTTTGGTCTCTGTATGGACAATAGGAACTTCTTTAGTTGGAATTTCACTTTTCACAGTGTTGGACACATCAGAGATCGTAACAGTCTGAGTTTTCACAAGCGGAGGCTACAAAATGACATTTTAGAAAGAAAACAAATTTAGCAGCATTACACTCACGCAATATTACTGACATGCATTCTAATACTAATCTGAAGTACCATGGACTATAAATCCCATTTATTAAGTTATTTAGATTTCAAGGCATCTTTCAGAGATAAGTTCTGCAAAAAGAAATGGTGAAAAGGTGGAATAGACATTGCATGTTCCTAGTTCCTTGGGGAAATAATGCATTTCTGTACATTTACATAACAGAAATTGATTCCCAACTAAACAGATACATCAAATTGAACAGGTACATATGAATCTCTATTAATAGAAAGACCTGATCTATTAATTTATTCAGAAATTATATGGACGTGAAATAATACATGTAGAGTACAAAGATAGCATTCCAAATATGCTATGTGTACATTAGCTTCTATTAAATCACATCAAACCATCATTTATTCGAATCTCAACAAGGGGAAATCAGCTATAGTTAATTAGGGAGTATATACCATATGATTTATTCCACTGACAGCTCTTCACAGTCTGCATGTTATCGCCTTATTACCAGAAAAAAAATTGTCACACATTTTATCAGGTGAACACCGAAGCATGCAAATATTGATCTCTATAGACACACATATATGGTGATCATTACGAAAGAGATCCTAGGAGATTCCTAAATGTGAAAACTATAAACATGAAGAAATGTGTTTTTGTTGTTTGGTTATAAAAGAAGATAGAATGAAACTGGAAATTATACTTTTAACTGAGTGTTGGGTCTTTTTTTGCCATTTTGTTTAATCTAGTAAATCCAATACTGTCCAATCTGTATATCCTCGCTCTGTAATACTCCTTGAATAAACAAAATATATTCCTTTTTTTGTTTTAATTAAAGAAATTAATTAATTGTATGTTAACAGTGAAGAGAAGGGGACAAATCCATACAGACTGGAGAACATTAACTAGCTGATTAGTTTAAGAATAACTTTAGGACATTTGTGTCATATGCTTACTGAAGTGCTTGTAGATCGACTTCAGAAAATGTAGCAGAGAAGATGTTCTGAGCTCACATTTAAACTAATTATCAATATTTTATATATGACTTTCTTCATTTAGAAATTTCGGTCCTCCGGGTGTTTTAGACTTCAACTCCCACAGTTCCCGTTGGCTGTTAGGAATTGCGGGAGTTGAAGTCCCCCCAGGGGTGAGAAGGGTGAATGAAATAAATAAATAAAATAAGTCCAAAACACCTGGAGGGAAGGCCCAAGTTGGCCCATGCCTACACTAAAGTCTAAAGTCATTGATTCTGCATCCTCTTTGAAGTTACTCACACTCTAAAAACAAATGAGAACACTAAGAAGACCAAAAAGAATTAAGAACACGGCATGAACAATGTACATCTAACCATGTATCAAAATCCAGCACAGGTCTTCTGAGAGGCTCCATATGCAAAAAAGATGACAGCAGAAGAATAACCGTTCAAGTGTTTCTGAATATCCAAGTGACAAACAACCTGACACAATGGAATCAAGTGTATTTTTTTGCCTAGGATGGCATGACTGCATATATATTCCCTTCTTTGTTAGAGGAGCTTGCATGTGCAGGTAAGTGGAGATCTCTATTATGGCAGCAACCAACCCAGCAGTTTTATAATAAATAAATAAATAAATAAATAAATAAATAAATAAATAATCACTTGGGAAGTGTTCAATGTGTGATCCAATACAATAGCCAGCAGAGTGATCTTGTTTGCTGTGGACTCATCTTGTTGTGTTTCAAATAATAATAATAATAATAATAATAATAATAATAATAATAATGTCGCCATTCCAAGTGACAGGCGCATTGAGGAAAAACAACAGGAAAAACTCAGCTGCTATCAAGACATCAAAATTGAACTGCAAAGGCTCTGGCATAAACCAGTACAGGTGGTCCCAGTGGTCATTAGCGCACTGGGTGCCGTGCCAAAAGATCTCAGCTGGCATTTGGAAACAATAAACCTCAACAAAATCAAGATCTGTCAGCTGCAAAAGGCTACCTTACTTGGATCTGCGCACATCATTCGAAAATACATCACACAGTCCTAGACGCTTGGGAAGTGTTCAACTTGTGATATTGTGATATGAAATCCAGCATATAGATCTCGTTTGCTGTGACATACTGTGCTTTTATGTCAGTAAAATAATAATAATTATTATAATTATAATTATAATTATTATTATTATTTTATACCCGGCCATCATCTCCCGAGAGACTCAGTGTGGCTCACAAAGCACTCAAAGGTGCAAATGCACAAAACACAACAAGTGCATAAACAATAACACAAAAGCAATAACAACAACATAACATCATAAAACCCCACCGGTTAAAATCAATAAAATGCAACAGTAGCTGCAAATACTGCAATCAATCAGTCTCATAAAGTGCAAGGTGAAATAATCTCTGGGTCCTCGAATATGTTCATTAAGGATTTCTAAACATGGTCAAAGGCTTGTATAAAAAGCCATGTCTTCAACTGTGTCTGGAAGTCTAGGAGAGTGGGGGCTTTATAGGTGATAGCCTGCACTTTGAATTGAGTCCAGAAACTTGTCAGTAGCCAGTGGAGCTGCTATAATAGGAGCGTACTATGTTCCCTATGATTCACTGCTTTTGAGAGCAACTTCACTTTTGGCCAATTGGAGTCTGGATGCCTGCGTCATCTTTTTTTCAGCAGATAAAGAACCTTGTTATTTGATGACAGGACACTCAGCGATCATGGTCAGTGATGTATAATACACATTTAAGACTATTATGTACATCAGGGACAAATGAAGTACATTCAAAACTTCAAAGCAGAAGGTCCACATTGGACTTGGGCTTATAATCCTGGAAAGCAGGGGCCAATTCCCTAAATATGAATTACACTTGCTCCAAAGCTACTAGTCATGGAGGAAAAAGAAAGGCACTTATCCTTTCGCTAACATTTCCCCCTCCATTGCTAATAGAACCTGAGATATGAGATTTGAAACAGTAAAATAATATAGGAGGGAAAGGTTGGCCTCCCAGAGCTACAGTCCCAGTTCACATCTTGTAGCTGTTTTTAAGTGCAAAAGGCACTATGTGTCTGGCTTATCTTCACTGGACAGGGAGCAGGGGCAGAGCTCGTGACGTAGCAAGGCTTTGTTGTACAATATTAGATTCATCTTCTAAACCTGGAACTTCATTTAAAATGAAATGCCAAATGTGACATTCTCTTCTCAAGCATAGTTTCATTTTTTTTCCAAACAGGAAAGAAAATGCCCATTAACTATTATACCCCGAGATTAAAACCAACTACAGATCCAAAACTGCATCCAGGATTTACATAGAAAGATCCTACAGTACTTTACAGAACCCCACAACTCTCTTTTGACTTTTCTTTTGAAAGCCACACCTCTTACAGTCAAAGCTCTAATGCGTTGAGATAACCATTTTCATGCACAAGCCCAGGATAAAACTTGATTTAGTACATGCCCAGGATTGGAATTCCACACATGATTTAAAAGGTTGGTTGTTTTTATAAAAGTCATAGCCTATCACATTGGATGCCAAGAGAACTCCAAGGAAAAGCACACCAAACAAATGCTATCAGATTAAGATGGCATCGCAGCAGATGCCATGGTCATTAGCAAATTATTTACAATAGTATGTTTGTTTGTTTTAAACTTTATTTGTACCCCGCCACAATCTCTCCAATGGGGACTCGAAGCGGCTTACATGGGGCCAAGCCCAAACAACAATTACAATAAAGAATGACCGAACGCAAACCGAAAACGCAAACAACAAACAACATCATAATTACATGAAACATATGAATATACAACAATATAAAATTACAATAAACACAAACACAGTGACAATGGGAGGGCTACATGTAATAGTTAAAAGAAATAATTAAAACTGGTTAAAAACTCAGGTGAGATAAAAGAGAAACGAATTATTTGTGGAAGAGGGCTCATTATAGTGGGAGATGTGGAGTCAAACTTTCCCACGAGGGGGGGAAATGTATACTCCAGTGACAGAACATTGCACATGAGGGATAATGTGGGATTTAATACCTATTCACCAAAGGTGCAGCGGAAGAGCCAGGTTTTGAGGTTCTTTTTTTAAAGTTTCTAGGGATGGGGTGGTTTGTCAGATATGGCTCATATGTACATTCAATAGGAATGCATTATTGTACTTTCTAAGATGGTATGGATTAATTTTCTGAACCCCTCAAAATGCCAACTCCAAAGTCTGTATCAAGACAAAGATGGAACAAAGTAACCCAAGTCTTCCAAAAAGAAAGCAAGTGTGTCCATAGCACCTGAGATACTCTGGAAGACTGTGCCAAGCCAGAGGATTTAACCAAGGCTGGTGCTATTCTGTCTTCCATCCTGAGCCTGTTAGAAAGTTCTCAACTAGGTCTTCATACATCTCTGCAAGCCCTCTAGCCAGAACTTGAAGGGAAGGAATAGTAACAGAAGAAAAGACAAGAGTTAAAACATACACCAGGTCAGAAAATGTGCATAAATTATCCACTGGAGGAGACAGAGGGGAGTAACAAGCCACAAATCTAAAACTGGACTTCCGTTTTTAAAAGATGCCCTCTTTTTCCAAAATAAATTTTCTTAATAAGTTGAAAGCATGGTTCACATAGAGCAGGCCTGGGCAAACTTGAGCCCTCCAGGTGTTTTGGACTTCGTCTCCCACAATTCCTAACAGCCTAATGGTTGTTAAAATTGTGGACGTTGGAGTCCAAAACATCTGGAGGGAGGGCCCAAGTTTGCCCATGCTTGGGCTATACTGTCTTCTGATCCTATTCTTAGCATCACCTCTTCCATACACACATTGTGCAGCATGTGTGCTTTTCTCCATTGCTGGGTCCAAAGTGTCAAGTCAAAGATTTTTGTTTACGTGCCTTGTTCTGCAGCATATTCTGCATGTAATCTTTAGTAAACAAACTAGCCATGTTATTGACACTAAAATTCCATTTGGCTGAGGATGTAGTGTGGCTTCAA